TTGGAATTGATCATTTTGGTTACAGTCAGCGCAGCTTAAGCCTGAAGATTTAAGTACCTTCAGGTAGGTTCAGAAGGATGCACTAATAAAAAAAAATCCCACAGGATAACGTGCACAGCATGAAGCAACACACTTTTTGTGCCTACTGCACCCATCAGTAAGCCTATGGATGTCTATGAGGAGATGAAACCAATATTCATACTCTATAAGTATCTTAGCATATAAGGAAGAAATTCTTTACAATGAGGGTGGTGAAACACTGGAATGGGTTGCCCAGTCAGTAGTAGAGGCCCCATCCCTGGGAACATCCAAGACCATGTTGGACGGGGCTGTGAGCAACCTGATCTGGTTAAAGGTGTTCCTGCTCCTGCAGGGGGGCTGGACTAGATGACCCCTGAAGGTCCCTTCCAACCCAAAACCTTCTACGATTCTATGATAAGTAACGTGAAGTCTCACCTCAAGGGTCAACTCTCACAGATTTCAGTGTTACCTCCAAAAGTAAGCAAACAAACTCCTCTTTGTAGAACCACATCATTAGACGAAGCCAAGCAGCAAAAATGCAAAAGGTTCCTCAGCAACGCTGCACGTCTCAGTGAACACACACTTCAACATCTTCCAGGCAAATGGTGTCGCCTAATAGACAGCTACGACGACGACTCCTCTTGCTAGGAGAGCATTTGAGCCGTGCCCAGCAGTAAAGACAAGTGGATGTTAGAAGAAGAGTGAAAACAGTTGCTAAATAGCTGCCCAACTCCTCAAAGACAAATGTAAAGAGCAGAAATTAAATGCATGGAAATGCCAAATATTCAAGGAAAACACTGTTTTGACGTTTGCAAAATTTCCCTCCTTGCAGAAACCAGCTCTCGGAAAACGAGTTCGTTCTTCGGCTCTTTTCTGTTGGGGTTTGGTTTTGGTTGGCTTTCGACCCACTGCAAAAGCTGTGACAGATGACTGAGATGTGGCTATAAATCATTTATTGATAAGGAGCAATCGAAGAGGCAGTGCTACCACAGAGCGCGCCAGCTTCCGCAATCACGAGCTTAAAAATTAATTTGGAACACTTGATGCCAGTGTCAACTACTAAAAAATATTCAAGTTATTATTTAAATCTTGTTGCAATTTGCCAGCTGCAGGAAGGGGGTTCCAACGTGCGTTTCCACTCCCCTCGCTGTCTCTTGAGTTACGTTAGGAATTTCTAAGACAAATACTACGGCACGGAGTGCTCTTTCTACTCTCTGAAGAGGAAGCTCCTAACAGACATTGGGACAAATTAAGAATATTTTCTTAAGCAAGACCTGATCCAGATCCCGTTCGGGTTAATTGGAGAAGTGCATCTACCATAAACTCGCTATTTTATTATTTTAAGTGCAAACTGATGGAAATGCTATGAGATTAATAACCACCATAATAACAACTTTCTCCAGTACTAAAAATACTTTTTAAATACACACTGTGAAGTAACAGCACGGTATTTATTTAAAAAGCAGAAAAATAAACACAACAGCAATCAGACAATTCACTTGGTGCCCTATTTCTGCACCCAAAGAAACTGTAACTCCAATACCCTGCATCTATTTTTTTTATTTTCTTTGAGAAGAGTCAGTTGTTAGCTATTGTAGCCACAGCATTTTTTCAGGCCAAGGATAAGTATTTAAAAAAGCAAAGCTCAGGAACCCATTTTGGAATACCAATCTTAGAAGTCAACAAACTCTTCTCATGAATTTGACTGCAAACGGGTCCTGTGCGCCTGTAAAAAGACTGGATGGCGCAAAAAGTTGTCGGTATCTTAAACCAATCTGCGGTGGCATCTTGAAAGTGAACAGTAAAGGCTGGCGGTTGAAAATTGCATCTTAGTGTCACAGAATATATATGGGACACAAAAAAATAACTCACCCTCAACTCATACTCATTTTCCCCAGAAAATGAAAACTCTTCACAGAAGCAAACTGTTCTTTCTTGATGCTCAAAGTGTATTTTGGTTTCTATGTCCAGTACAGATAAGGGACAAAACCTGCACTCGATTGAGGAACCCAATTTAATCATTGCTGGATGAGGAGGAAGGCAATGAACACCACCCCAGAAGGGAGCAAACGCAGGCGCACCCCTTACGCATATTCGCAGTGCCCGGTGCAGGGACCCAGTGAAGAGACTGTGGTTTAATTAAAGCCAAGTGTTAAATACTCAGACTAGTAACTCTCCCAACAAAATTTGTATAGGTTCCACAAAGGAAGGAAGAAATCTTCAGGAAGGTGGGAGGAAAGAAAGCAGCAGCTTTCAAAGCTCCTCAGAAAAAAGAAAAAAAAATAAATAAAAATTCCAGCAACAGAGGCGGTGTGGTAGAAAGCACTGCACGAGCTCCAAGAAAGAGGGGAAAAATGGAGCAAGAAAGCTGGAAGCTAGATAAGGGGAAAATGACTTTGGGGGGGGGGGCCTTCCTCCCCCCCGCCCAGGCCCACTGGGGTGGAAGAAGAGCTCTCGGAAAACGAGTTCGTTCTTCGGCTCTTTTCTGTTGGGGTTTGGTTTTGGTTGGCTTTCGACCCACTGCAAAAGCTGTGACAGATGACTGAGATGTGGCTATAAATCATTTATTGATAAGGAGCAATCGAAGAGGCAGTGCTACCACAGAGCGCGCCAGCTTCCGCAATCACGAGCTTAAAAATTAATTTGGAACACTTGATGCCAGTGTCAACTACTAAAAAATATTCAAGTTATTATTTAAATCTTGTTGCAATTTGCCAGCTGCAGGAAGGGGGTTCCAACGTGCGTTTCCACTCCCCTCGCTGTCTCTTGAGTTACGTTAGGAATTTCTAAGACAAATACTACGGCACGGAGTGCTCTTTCTACTCTCTGAAGAGGAAGCTCCTAACAGACATTGGGACAAATTAAGAATATTTTCTTAAGCAAGACCTGATCCAGATCCCGTTCGGGTTAATTGGAGAAGTGCATCTACCATAAACTCGCTATTTTATTATTTTAAGTGCAAACTGATGGAAATGCTATGAGATTAATAACCACCATAATAACAACTTTCTCCAGTACTAAAAATACTTTTTAAATACACACTGTGAAGTAACAGCACGGTATTTAT